TTGTTGATCCTCTAGTTGAAGCATCAAAACCTCTTAATCTATATTCATATTCTTTTATGGGCAAATTACACTAATAGTCCCTATAGTTTAGAGCTTGTGTCACTTTAGTCCCTTACTTTTCAATTGTGACACATTTGACTCCGAATTTTGAATCTTTACTTTATACAGCAGAGTTATTAGTAGCATTTAGAATTTAGTGTCAAACTACTCTGCTTAGGCCGTGCTAGTTGTTGATCCTCTAGTTGAAGCATCAAAACCTCTTAATCTATATTCATATTCTTTTATGGGCAAATTACACTAATAGTCCCTATAGTTTAGGGCTTGTGTCACTTTAGTCCCTTACTTTTCAATTGTGACAAATTTGACTCCGAATTTTGAATCTTGTTCCAAATAAGGACAATTAACATACCATTTCTTAATTTCAAGGGTAAAATCGTCAATTTGATAAAATATAAACTAATTTGACAAAAATAAATGTCAAAAAAATATTTTAAAATTTTTAAAAATATTTCTAGCCACCAAAAATAAAATTATGTACAATTGATAAAAATTAATAAAAATTACATGATTAATTTTTAAAAATTAAATTTACATGATCATCATCCAAATACATAATAAAAATTAATTTGGTAAAAAAAAAAAATCTAAAGATTTATCAATTTTATCTTTAGGAGGTAGAAATAATTTTTAAAAATTCATAAATATTTTTTTAACATTTATTTTTGTCAAATTAATTTATATTTTATCAAATTGACAATTTTGCCCTTAAAAAATCCAATAGTATATTCAATTGTCCTTATTTGGAACAAGATTCAAAATTCAGGGTCAAAAGTGTCACAATTGAAAAGTCAGAGACCAAAATGACACAAGCCCCAAACTATAGGGACTGTTAGTGTAATTCACCCTTTTTTTATCTACCTGATAATTGCAGTTCTGAAATAGATATCTGAGCATTACCAGTCCCAAGAGCGTATTCACAATGAGAATATCAAGCTTCTCCAATCAACTCCCCTTGACACATGTTTAAGAACTTTCACACCTACAAGAACAAAATCAACATAAGTTTTGGATAAAGAAACAACAATTAATAGTAAAATACATTTAACAGGTTAACTTTTAAAAAAAATAATCACTAAATCCTTCAAACGAAGTTACAATTTGAAGCCCAAATACTTTGAATCACATATGTACAATAAAATAAGAAAGGAGAAGTAACACGTGAGGGAAGACAAGAAACCCCATTGACATACACGCTTGATTCCATAGTTTTTAAGAAGTAATAGAAAATATCATAACATAATTCAAAAGGTACCAACTATATCTAATCCAGCACCAATGTGGCACAAGCAAAGCATATTCACATTAAAATGTGAGCAAGAAAGGGATATTAAATTAACTAGTAAAATGTGAGCAATAAATTAAAAGGAAATCTATATCTCTTAGAACTACCCTTAGCAATTCACTATCATGGATTATAGTACTTCACATTTGAGTAATGGTAAATCTACTTAAAATCTTACTAACAATTCTACTAAAAACATTCATGTCCAAATATTATTGGTGGTTTAAATATTATTACTTTTTGGACAACCAATTACATTTGAGCATTTATAATTTTTCTTCATGAAATCAGTTTTTCTTCATTAAATTAGATCATCAATTTTCCTTAGAAAATGATATATATATATATATGGGACCTAATTAAAAAGACAACCATAAATAAAATAAAAAAAATTATTGATTCAATTACTTTAATTTTTCCAAAATCTATATAGAATCACAGTCCTGCAATGACTAGACTATATGAATCAACTTGAACTTCTCAAAGAAAAATAAATAAATTCAACTTTAACTTTTATTTTTTTATTTATTATATATATTTGACTATGTAAGCCCCTTCTATGTCTAGACTGTAAACAAATCAAACAAAACTGGTAGTGTTTTCTCTGCACTTCTTGGAGTGAATTTCTTGTGCTTTGAAAACCAAAACCCACAAAACAGAAAATAAAATTAAAAATTTGCTAAAACAGGTTAGTTCAATTAACAAAAGTGCAATAAACATATTCAAATTGAAAACTAGCTTGTAGCCTCAAAAACAGGCTAGCTAAGATAATGAAACAATAAACATAACAATGACAGATTGCCTAGCTATCAACCTCCTCACCTCATGGGATCTAAATATAACAATATACCATCATAGCCATCATGGGGATGAATTTGAAGGAAGCTAGGCCAAAAGAGAAGGTTAACTCTCCAAAGAAAACATGGTGCGATAGGTGTTAAAAGAGTAACAAAACTTGACAACGAAGAGTTAAACATGTAAAAAAGTAAAATTTAATACCTTTCCAAATAGTCTTGCCTGAAAATGATACTTTTTTCACCAGGGACATCAATAGCAATACTTAGTTGCACGAAAAAGTTTAAAATGTTTTTTGTTCAAAATTTTGAGATTGACTTTGCGAGCAGAGTCTTGTATGCAGACCTATTGTGCTAGGGTTTAAGGGGTTTGTAATTATTTTGGGTAGGAATTGGTTGCGAAAACGCTTTGTGACTCTAGATTGTGCTGGGAGGACTGTAGATATAGATATTTCCGGTATGCCATGGCTTACCCATACTTCTGGCGATGGACAAGAGTCGATAATGACGAGTTTTCTGTGCTCAGTAGAAATCCCTATGCAGGATATTTGTGAGGTAGATGTGGTACATGAGTTTGAGGATGTATTTCAGGAGATACCTGGACCTCCACCTCGACGAGTAGTAGAATTTTGCATTGACTTAATGCCAAGAACTGCACCGATTTCTAAGGCGGCATACAGAATGACACCTACAGAGCTTGTAGCGATGAAGAAGCAACTGGAAAAGATGCTTCAAAAACGGTTCATATGTTCAAGTAACTCCCCGTGGGGAGCACCCGCAATTTTTGTCTCCAAGAAAGATGGCGCTCTCCGCATGTGCATAGATTATAGAGAGCTGAACAAAGTGACTATCAAGAATAAGTATCCGCTACCTAGAATTGATGACTTGTTTGATCAGTTGAGGGGGGCTGCCATGTTCTCTCAGTTTAATCTCAGAACGGGTTACCATTAGATGGGTGTGTCAGAGGAAAGTATACCGCTTACTGCTTTTTGGGCTTGGTATGGGTTGTACGAGTTTCCTGTAATGCCTTTTGGTTTAACAAATGCTCCTGCCTATTTCATGGACTTGATGAACAGAATTTTTCAATCGTATCTAGATAAATTTGTGATTATCTTCATAGATGATATCCTGGTGTATTCTAAGAATGAGGAAGAGCATAGAGAACACTTGAAAGTCATGTTGCAAACTTTGAGGGAACAATAGTTATACGCCAAGTTCAGTAAGTGTCACTTTTGAGAGAAAGAAGTTTGATTTTTGGGACATGTTGTATCTAATCTGGGGATAGTGGTAGATCTTGATAAAGTTGTTGCAGTCAAAGAATGGAAGCAGCCCACAAATCCTTCAGAGGTAAGGACTGTTTTAGGACTAGCCGGTTATTACAGGAGATTTATAGAGAAGTTTTCCACTATTACAGCACCCATGACCATGTTGACCCGCAAGAATGTGAAGTTCTTATGGACAGATGATTGTGAGAGAGCTTTCCAAGAGTTAAAAGCAGCAGTTGAGTACAGCACCAATGTTAACTATACCAGTACAAGGGGAAAAGTTAGTAATGTTTACTGATGCGAGTGGAACTAGGTTGGGATGTGTGTTGATGCAGTATCAGAAGATTGTATCTTATGCTTCTCGATGGTTAAAACCTCATAAGAGACAATACCCTACTTATGACTTAGAGTTGGCAATAGTTTTTTTTTTTTTTTTTTTTTTTTTAGTAGTTGTTTTTGCGTTGAAAATGTGGCGACACTACTTGTTTGGGGAGTGTTTTGAGTTGTACACAGAACACAAGAGCCTCAAATATTTTTTTTCTCCAAAAGAATTGAACATGAGGCAACGAAGGTGGGTTGAATTCGTCAGTAGTTATGATTTCAAGATCCTTTACCATCCGAGGAAAGGAAATATGGTTGCAAATGCACTTAGTCGACAACATAGGATTATAGCTTCTTTGATGATTCAGGAATGGAAGTCCTTAGAGTTAATTTTGATGCATGAGGTTCAACCAATAAAGAGTGCTGAGAGGACATACATTGGTTGTTTGACCGTGCAACCGATGTTACTGGGTAAAGTTCGTCAGATGCAGTATTTAGATGGGTTCATTGTCAACAAGGTCGATGACCTTGTGGTGGATTTGACTGATGATTATCCTACTGATTGGTCTGTGGACTCAGATGGGGGATTGTGATTCAGGGACAGGTTGTGTGTACCTAACATTGTTGAATTGAGGAAAGAGATTATGGATGATGCCCATAGGTCCCGATATACCATTCACCCTGATGGGACAAAGACGTATGATGACCTGAAGGGGACGTTTTGGTGAGAAGGTATGAAGAAGGATGTAAGAGAGTGTGTTTCTCGATGCTATGTGTGTCACAGGTTAAAGCGGAACACCAATGACCGTCCGGACTTTTACAGCCTCTCGAGATCCCTAATTGGAAATGGGAGTACATCTCTATGGATTTCGTGGATGGATTGTCGTGGTCTTAGACAATGAATCTATTTCGGTGATAGTGGATTGACTCACTAAGTCTACTCATTTTATTCCTATCAGTGTTCACCGAACGACGAATAAACCAGCTAGACTGTATATTCGAGAGGTGGTATGACTTCATGGCGTGCCAGTTTCTATAGTTTCGGATTGTGATCCGTTATTTGTGGCAGAGTTTTGAGTGAGTTTTCAGCATGTTTTGGGTGCTAGGTTAGACCTAAGAACGGCTTATCATCCTCAAACGGATGGGCAAACTGAGCGGGTAAATCAAATCTTAGAGGATATGTTGAGAGCTTGTGTCCTCGATCTTGGCGATAGTTGGGAAGAACACTTGCCATTGGTGGAGTTTGCTCATAATAACAGCTATCACTCAAGTATCGGGATGGCACCTTCTGAGGCTTTGTATGGAAGGCCATGTCGATCAACTACATGTTGGACGGAGGTAGAAGATGCACCATTGTTAGGGCCAAGGTTGGTGAAAGAGACCACAGAGAAGGTGAACATTAGTCGAGAACGTATTAAGACTGCACAGAGACGTCAGAAGAGTTACGCTGATAGAAAACATAAGGGGGTTGAGTTGAATGTTAGAGATTTTGGGTTTTTGAAGGTCTCGCCGATAAAAGGTATCATGCGGTTCGGAAAGAATGGAAAGTTGGCACCTAGATTTATGGGACCATACGAGATCACTGAGAGGATTGGTAATGTAGCTTACAAATTAGTCTTACCACCTGCTTTAGTTATGATTCACAACGTGTTCCATGTATCTTTATTGCAGAAATGTGTGCAAGACCCTTCCCAAATAGCATCACTAGAATTGTTGGAGATTAGTGACAATCTAACATATGTGGTGCGACCGGTTACTATTCTAGACCGAGATGTAAAGTAGTTGCGGTGTAAGAAAGTGAACTCGGTGAAAGTGCAATGGAGCGAGGATGAGAACAATATCAATTGAGAATTAAAAGAGAAAGTTCGGCGTATGGACCTGGAACTTTTTGCCTAGTACTCTCTCCTCTCGAACCTCGAGACAAGATTCTTTTGAGGTGTGTATATTGTAGCAACCCCAATTTTTCTAAAGTCATTATTTATTATTATTATTATCTTATTTTATTTTATTTTTAGACTTTATTAATTGTGTGGCTACATGAGAATTTAATGTGGTATTTAATTAATTTAATGTGATAGGTAATTATATATAATTAATCCGATTATTTATATATTTTATATATATAAAAAAGTGTTTTATATATTAATAAAATATATAGCATATTTATATATGTTGTGATTATTTAATAAAATAAAATATAATATATTGTCACATTAGGTTATAAGCATTAGAGAAGTGTTATAAAAAAAAAAAGGAATAAAACAAAACAAAAAATAGAGGAGCTGTAGCATGCCGAGAGAGAGAGAGAGAGAGACTCTTGGTGATCATCAAAGAAAATCAACCAGAGAATATAGCCGAGAGAAAGAGAGATGGCGGGAGAGGGGAGAAAAATAAGGGTTAGGGTTTTATTTTGGTGGTTTCATTAATTTTTCAAGTGATTCTTTAATATTCAAAAAAATATTGTGAGTACAAAACCCACTTCCCTTGATTTATGTTTAATTCGTTATTTTTATTTATTTATTTGATGTTGGTTTGATTTTGTATTGGCATGTAGATGATGGATTGATTTCATTATTTGGTTAGATGTGTACGCAAAGTATAGAGTTTTTATGTATATTTATTTTATGGATGTAATCACACTCATGAATATATGAAATTAAAATAAATTGGGAACCTATAGATAAATTCCTTATACTCCATCATGACTCTATCAATTGTTGTTTTATTTGAGTGCCGGTGAGAAAAAGTGTAAAAGAAAGAAAAAAAAGTGAGGATTATGAGATTGATTTCAATGCCTTAGACTTGGCATTGTTATGTTTGTTCTCGTGAATAGTTGAGAGGTTGTGTATATATATATTGTTGCCTCGTTCTCAAGAGTAGACGGGTGCTTTGATTTACGCGCGTACGTATATGCTAACCATCCGGAGAGTGTGGGTCAAACTTGGGACGATATTCCCATGCAAGTTTGGCTTCAGAGCGGTATTAGGTATACGAAAGGCACACGGGATATATGTGTAGGCCGAAAGTGAAGGGCCGAAGTTGTGACGTTAAGGTACACAGAATTAATATGAATTTATCGGTATAGTTTGAATTGTATTAATTTGTACATCTTGAAAAATAGTAAACGGCCTTGATAAATTACGAAATTTGGATAGAAGCATGTATACGTAATTCTAGATAATTTTTGTATGTTAACTTTGTATTAAAAAGATTGATTAGAACTTTTAATCAGATGATCTTGGTTATAATAGTTTTTATTCATTTTAGCAATGTAGATTTTAGATGCTGTTTTAATCCATGAAGTGAGCTCATTTTTATTGATTTCACGTAAACTAAAGTAAAACATTATTCTGGACACTTTTCATGTTTTGAACATTTTCGAAAAAAATCACCTTAGGCCAGTTTCTTTTCGTTTTCAGTTTCAGATTTTTCGGTCGAATTCTATCTAGATTCTTCTATCAAGTTTTTCTCTCAACCTGTTTAGTTTATACTAAATCCTTTCACGACACTCTTCAAAAAATTGGATTCTATACAACTTTTGTTCTTTGAATTTTGGTTAATTCGAATGATATAAGCATGAAACAGTGCATATTGATACTATTTCAGTAATTTACTTATGATTAAATATACTCACTTTATTTTTTGGCAGAATGGTGGGTCTTACTAACTTTTTATGAAAGGATGACCCACCGTATTTTTATGTTTATTTTATACTCAATTTATATTTAATTGTGTACGGGTAAGAAACTAAATGTCACCGTATCGTGAGAAACTACTCCTTCGTCTCGGTGTGGGTGGAACTACTTGTCTTGTCCCGTAATAAGAACTAAATGTACTTTTATTTGTGTTTGGTGGACACGTGGGTGTTAAATATTTGTACTCGTATCAGTATACTTGTATACTGATCCATTTTATCTTTTGGCATCTCGGGTACATTCTATTTAAGCGCAGCCGAGCTTCCTTTGCAAGATTAGTTGGAGCTATTTCACGTAAACTAAAGTAAAACATTATTCTGGACACTTTTCATGTTTTGAACATTTTCGAAAAAAATCACCTTAGGCCAGTTTCTTTTCGTTTTCAGTTTCAGATTTTTCGGTCGAATTCTATCTAGATTCTTCTATCAAGTTTTTCTCTCAAACTACTCCTTCGTCTCGGTGTGGGTGGAACTACTTGTCTTGTCCCGTAATAAGAACTAAATGTACTTTTATTTGTGTCTGGTGGACACGTGGGTGTTAAATATTGGTACTCATATCAGTATACTTGTATACTGATCCATTTTATCTCTTGGCATCTCGGGTACATTCTATTTAAGCGCAGCCGAGTTTCCTTTGCAAGATTAGTTGGAGCTACAGTGGTAACGAGAAATAATTATAGTTATTAGACATGTCTCTTGGACTTCTTTTGTTTTCTTGAGCTTAGGGTTGATATTAGTTTATTGTATTTATTATTATTTTTTTATGACCTTGGTATTTTGACAATTTGACATTGTGGGTTATTTTTTTTAACGTTATATTATTTCAGTTGTTTTGACTAATTGTTGTTACTTTAATGTTGGAGGTATTTGATAGTTATGAATCTATGATGGATAGTTTAGTTGGTGTTCGTTAATTATTTTTTGGAAAAATTATGCAAATAGTCCCTGTAGTTTACACGATGTATCAATTTGGTCCTCATAGTTTCAATTTGCTCGGTTTTACCCCTTAATTTAACGGATTGTATCATTTTAGTCCAATAAATAACGGTTGTTAAATTAATTTAACGGAAAGTCAAACAATGTGTCAATTTGGTCCCTGATGGATCGTTACACACACCAAAATTAAACACTAAATTATACTAAATTCTATTAGAATAATGGCAAGTCTAGGTATCGATCCATAGGGACAATTATGAAATTAAACTTATTTAATTGCTAAATTCTTATATTAATTTTGATTAAAAATATGGATTGTTCATAACCTAATTGAATAACAAATAAAATAAATGAAGTGATTAAACTAGCAATTATAAATAAAATTTGATTTACTAATTTGGGGAAAAATCTAAGGCAATGAGTTCACCACTAGTCACGCAAATAGGGTTTCAAATTGAAATCAATTATGTTACGGTTCGAACGGAATAATACTTCGCAACTACAAGTTCAAAACATTTAACAAGAAAATCATCACGTTCAATGTATGGGCACGAACCATCTCAAGTAGTACGAATCGTTCACTCTAAACTAGGGTAGCGACACAACTCGTCCCTCGTAGTACGGTTCGTCTCATACCTTAAATGTGAAAGAATAGAAAACTATTGTATGAAAAACATTCAACAATTACAGAAAGCCGAATACTTGAAGAAATAATGGAAAATAAATATACGAAACTTCTAAAACTCCATACAATTGTTCAAACCTTCACATAATTAAAAATAAAAAAGAAAACCTAATTACATAGCTAGGGTTTCATCAAAACCCTAGAAAAGAATAATCAAGTTACTCATGGAGGAGTGGGAAGAAGAAGAGAATGAAGAAGAAGCCCCCATAGAAGTCTCCTTGAAGCTTTTGGAAAGTATCACCTCTTGAAAAACCTAGCCTCTCTTTCCTTGCAAATTAATTTCAGAACCCTAATCTAGCCTCCTTCTTGTCTATTTATATTTCTGCTGCCTTTCAAAAAGGCTTAAAACATCGGGCCCGTTTTCCAAGGAAAGTCAACGCACGTGTAGGAAAGTCAACGCACATGCGGAAAAAGTCAATGCACGTACGAGAAGCTGTTTTCTCTCCAAATTCTGTATTTTTGCCCATTTTATGCTCCGACTATGTACAACCTGATTAACATTAAACACACATAAAATATACAGTTTGACAAGCAAGTAAAGTTAAAAGATCTTAATTAACGGCCTCAATGTTGTATAATTTGGCCTTAATCACATCCCCCAACTTACAACTTGCTAGTCTTCAATCAAGTAATAAAAATAAAATAAAATTAAACAAAATCTAGCTATTTCCTCTTCCGTGGCAAAATGGTTGCATTTAGCATATGCAACAAGTCTTTAAACCATAAAGTTACCCTAAATGGACGAGTAAAGTCTCGTAAGGGTTTCCAGAAATGATACCCATAAACATTAATATATTCATTTATGCCCAACAATTAACCACACTACTCCACATACCCATCAACTTATGTGCCACTACAATGTGATATTAAGACATAATGAGTCATTAAAGGCACAGTGGATAAGCATGAAGGAATCTATTGAGTCAAAACTACAATTCAGTTAATACAAAAGTAAAGTCCCCTGTACTTGTGCATGCTAGTAGACAAATCATCAGTACCCTCAGTGTAAAGTGCAATCTCCATATTAGTTAATTGTCCACTATAATAGTCCAGTGTAAATCATAATAACACCCAACATATACAGAAAAGCTAAATTGTTGCAGCCAAGATTCTCAAAAGTTTTTTTATTTTATTTTATTTTATTTTATTATTTTAAATGACTGTGTAATGTCCTAATCCATTAAGCTTTCTAATCCACCCATGTAACAAGCATTGGGCCAATGACTCCCAAACCAGACGGTTTTAGGGCACTAGGTGTGAAGACACCCCTACGGGCTTAATAACTTGAGTTGAAAAGGCTACGAATCCGAACAAGTCATTCTCCTTATTTTTCATTAACTGTGCAATGTCTAAGTCCCTTAAGCTTTCTAATTAACCCATGTAGCAAGTATTGGGCCAATGACTCGCAAACCGGCTGGTTTTAGGGCACTAGGTGTAGAGACACCCATACGAGCTTAATAGCTCGAG